ATTTTTTGACTCTTGCCTCAATATTAACATATGTTTCGGACATAATTGGTGCCCTTTCATGAAGTAAATTTTGTTGAAAAATGAGAGTGTTGTCCAATCTTCTATTAAGCTGGTTTCTTCCATTAAGCTGTCAGGTATGTCATAGATGTGCTGCAAGAGTTTGAAACTTTGCGCAGACACGGTTAGTTCGATCTAATAATCGCGCTCCAAAAGGCAGTTTCTTTTCTTTTCCAATTTACATGCTTAATGTTATCCCCAAGGTGTGATGCTATTCTTACTTACGGTATCTGTAACGTATTACCGGCAACGTGCGTACCCGATTGCAACTGTTGGATTCTTGGTCCCCGTCACATGAGTTTTTCTCTTTTTTATTTCTTCAAACACTTGGTAGTCTCCTTGCTTGTTTCATTATTGCGAAGTTAGGAGATCAGGATATCCTCAAGCTATTTGTTTCATTCATTCCTTTGAAACTCTCTACCCCTTACTGGTAAAAAAAACTCTTTTTCTTTAGCGGGAGAAAATATTTCACTCCCTTACTTGGGAATGAAAATTTTCACCCACACAGACTTGATATTGGAGGAAACAGATCCTATTAAGAAGGACCTGGTCATGTAGTTAGAAAAGAAGAGTGAACTTGACAATCAATCTTCTGCTATCGCGAATATCCCAAGAACTTGAATCTCACTCTATCTATCACCTTATACAATTCCTCCGCTCTTATCAGTCTCTTATTTTTCACAGCAACAATACCAATCCCCCCAGCGCATATGGATCGCATGTGACTCACAGCTTCTCCATGTGCACTTCTGCGTAATGGCTTTCGGCCTCGTCCCTTGACGGTTTGGAGGTCTGTATTTTCTTCTCCACCGGGGCTTCATTTTTGATAACGGGCACAAATTGGAAGTTGTCCACGGTGACTGGTTTCGGGGCCATAACTTAGGGATCTGTTTTGACCTTGGGCAAATCTTCACGAGCGGAGTGAAATAAAATCGGCGAACTCTCAGTATCTCATTCTATTCCATGACACAAATACCTTGTACCATCGCACTCATCATTTGGTGCAGTTTCCTCGCCCAAAACATCACCCCCGCCGACGAACGAGGTGGACGGTACTCGTATATGTTGTCCCAAGACTAGCAAGCCGGTCTAATAAGGAGATTCGAAGCTCTCGGTACGCCGCAAACTGAGAACACAACATACCGCACAAATACAAGTGTACTGCTTTGAACGTTACCTGTATATACTATCACCATGACAGGTGTATTAGCTTGCTTGAGGCTCTTGTTACTCTACTTACTATATCTATCCGGTTCTTTTTTTTTTTCTTTTTCTACCTAGCATTACAGACTATGCAAAGTAAAGGTTAGTTTAGACAAGCGGTCGGAGATCAAATGACTGTACTGCTCTACCCGGTCTGCTGCATACCTCCTCGCCAAAAGGTTCACCATGTACCGTTTTTCACAAGAAATACACCTGTACCGAAACACCTGTACCTTCCACGTACCGGGAGCTTCGAACCTCCTTAATGAGGTATCATAGTCGTACCACCTGCCACTTTAGCAACATTTCGACCTCTACTCGCACTTGTACTTGCAGCATCAACATCAACAGCATCCATCTCAATCGATCTAAGGATACGGGGTGAGTAGAGCGAAAGTAGTCGAGGCTCTTATTTATTTACCCTTTTCGTGATTTTTGCTGTCATACAGGTACCCACCCTAAGGTGCCACCAAGCGATTGTCTTGGGTGGCAGAGGTCGCATTTGTACCGGTATGGGTACCGGTATGCTTGGTAGATGACAAGCTTACCCCTGCAATTGGCAATGTTTCAAACATTTTCTCTGATTACTAAATCAATCGGACTCCTGAATATCCGAATTCCGGAGGGAAGGGGATGGGAGAACATGGCAGCGAATGAATGGCTTTCTGGGCTATCGTAGTCTTATGTCATTTACTGTAAAAGTGCGAATGGAATATCATAAATGCCAGTGGAAATGCATGTTGTGGAAATCTTGACGCGTTGAGTGGAGGGAGGTCGAGGATTGATCTGCTGGTATCACGAATTCTCACACCAAGTTTTCCCCTCTTTGTTTTTGCTGCGGAGCGGTTCCGTCGATGCCAAGAGCTGTTATGATTCCGGTTGTCCCAATGAAATCATTCGGTTGGGGGGATAACCCACCCTTCTTCTCCCCCCTTTTCGTCGCCAAGTGATAGACGCGTCAGACATGTTATTGACTGGTCTAATCCATTCCTTTGAACGGTTAACAGGGCTGAGGAGGGCGGAGTGGAGAGGGCGGAACTATGGAAGGGGCGTTTTTAGCCCAATTCCAGTCCGGAGGGAAAAAGCAATTAGGTGTAAGTTATTTCAGACAAACTGAAGCTCACCCAGGGCGGCAGCACGCGACAAATAATCCAAGTCTTGGTATGAGGTGGTTTCCAGCTCTCTCCCTCCTGCTCCCCTTTGCATTGGGGGGAGCAGCAGAAGACGAGGAACTCCGAGAAGCATCATCGGATCCACACTTGGAGGGGGAACAGTGTTTTCCACGATACAAACCTCCTCGTTCCGTCTCTTCCCCATCGCTGGAAACTTGCCTGCCGTCCCCTTTCTGTGAGTGCCTGTACCTCCCTATATCATAGGTTATTACCTCCTTTTGTTGTCGTTTCAAGGCCGCTGCAGCACCACAGCCTCCCCCCTCCGGGGGCTTGGGTGTCAAGGGGACTTTTCATCTGACTTATCTTTATGCCCAGGCAACAAGTACACTCGTTCAATACTTTTCCCCTCGCTCTCTCCTCGCTGTGGAAGAAAGAAGTTTGATTTTTGTAGGAAACGAAAGGGATTTTTGGTTTGGTTCGATTTGGTTCGATTTGGCTCGATTTGATTTGCCGCATACTTTAATGTCCACTGTTATGCCAACTCCAACGAGTGTCGTGCCCTCCGGGGTCAACGCCTCGTCAACTCCACTATCGTCTGCACCTCCAGCCTGGAATAGCGAACCGGCATGGAAACTGCCCGAGTGGGGTGAGCCGGTGGTGGGTACCTATCTACATTATCCCCTCTTCACCCATCTCTGTTCCGTCGGTGGATGATTATCTGACAACCTCACCAAAAGATCGTGGCGAGCATCCTATTCTTCGCGTGTTTCCACACTCGACGACGAAGGTATAATATCCTCAACAATCCAAAATCCGACTACCGCTCCCTCCTGGAAAACAATGGCTCCGGCGAATTCTCCCCATCTCCCTCGCGCAGTTCTATGGATGGTCGGTCATCGGATGACGAAGATGAAGATCTCACGGTCCTCAGCACATCCAAACACCCCCCTAAAACCCGTTCCTGCTGCTGTCTTCGTATACTGACTCCCAATTCGTCCCGTTTCTCAAACAACTGGCACTCCCGAATTATGTACAAGTTCCCGTTCCTAATGGAAATGTTCTACTGGATTATTACCTATGCTATATATCGAGTTTCGCATATTCTCTCGCAAGAGTTGTTCTCGGACGATATCTGGGGCACGGCGCAGGAAAATGGCTTAAGTGTTTTGAATGCGGAGCAGTACTCGTTACTGCGCTTCTTTTTCCCGGTTAAGGAGATTGATGTGCAAAAATGGTTTATGGATGGACATCAGGAATTGTTGACTTTCTTGAATAAGACTTATGCGTTGATTCACATTCCTGGGAGTGTATTGTAAGTTCCCCCCGATTTATGGGCGTGCTTTGCGCGAGTCCGGGTGGAATCGGCTACTAATGGATTGATTGATGTAGTTTCATTGCATGGTACTACTACTCCGCTCCGAGTCATGCTATCTTTGCTGTCGTACGGCGTACCGTAACACTGTGCAATTGGATGGCCTTCATCATATTTGCCTTCTTTCCATGTATGCCGCCCCGTCTACTCCCGCCGGAATACGGCTTCATCGACACTGTCCGCCGCGATGATGCCGAGTCGGTATGGATGTCCGGTAAATTTGTGAACCACCTTGCTGCCATGCCGAGTATGCACTTTGGCTACAGCTTCATGATTGGCGTGACACTAGTGTACCACTCTGGCGTACTCAGCTTCATGGGATTGGGATACGGAGGACGTAAAGGGAAAGTTCTGCAAACTGGCGTTGGCAAATGGTGGAGGATTTGGTACTGCGTGCTCGGGATTTCATACCCAACCATGATTTTGACTACCATTATCGCTACAGCTAATCATGTTTGTCCCCCATATATATACCCTCTTTCACAAAGCTAACTGGTGATGATAGTATTGGTTGGATGCCTGCGCTGGAGCACTCGTTGCCGCAATCGCCTTCCTGTGCAACCGTGTGTTCCTAGTATTCGTACCGCTGGAGGACCTCCTCCTCTGGGCTCTCCGCCTGGAAAAGCCTAAGCCGAATTGTGGACAGCATGCTCATTAATTATACCCCATCTCCCTGAGGTAATGGTGTTCTTATAAGAAACGAAGTAGCAGGTGGCTTTTTTTCTTTCTCTCTAAACCGGAGTTTTTGAGACTATTCTTTATCATTTTGTGCATTTTTTTCTTAAAAAAAGAAACCATTTCTTTATTGCCGGTCGGTTTGGCTTGGCTTGGGTTTTCCCTGTAGAGGGAGGCAGGAGCGGCTTGTCTGAAGGGGGGAGGATGGCTGGGGGTGGGACAGACATATATACCCTTGTGGTCTTTTGGAATGGTCTACAATTTTGGTTGTAGGAAGTGGAGAAGGAAAGAGGAAGATTGTACCTAGACTAATATTGAAGTTTTGATACCCATTCTTGCGGGTTTGGAGGTGCAATGTCTAAATCTACTGGCTTGGGTGGATACTGTACCCGAGTAGACTAAAGTACTTGTACTAACTTCCAGAAGGGAAAATAGTATCGGATACTTCCAACAGAACAGTCCATCCGCTACCATGTGCTCACATAGCCGCCGGTAACCGAAACTTCCAGCCCGGCATTCTTGCGAATCGGAGGAACACATGACCTACTGCAACCCGTGACACTCGACTCCCGAGCGAGTGATAACTTGTGTTTGCTTTGCACACCAGCCAAACGTGTTTCCGGGGATCCATTAGTCAAAAGTAATTTTCTCGAGAGGGCGAATACCAAAGCCAGCGTATGCTGTTCTATTCCTCCCTCCCCCATCTCTCTTTGTTTACTCGTTAGGTAGGCAGGTTATATTCCTTCTCCTGGCCCCTAAGAAGAGCAGCAGAATAAGAAGTCTTTTGGGCGGTGGGGGGGGTGTTGTGGGTCCCGGCCAGATATTTATTTGGATGTGGATTTGTCGTTGCATGCTCGGGGTCTTTTTGTTGCATGGTGTAGTGTTGTGTTGATTACGCATGTGTTCCTACATATCGATGCTTTCCTGGCTTGTGCTGTTGTTCTCGCCTTGATTTTCGTTTCGTTTCGTAGCACATAGGTGGGTGGCTGGGTAAGTACGGTAGGTAGGCAGAGAGGGACTTGCCGGTGCTAATTATATATCATGACTTTTTCAAGCCGTGGTGTATCCCCCCCCCACTCGCACGGTGGGTTATTACAAGTATTTTGAGTGTTTTGCTGTGATATTATTGGAAGTTGGGGAGTTGTGTATGCGGCCCATTCATTGAGGTGCTGATCTGTTTTTACTCTGCCACCATTCATTCGCCCGCCCTTCTCCTCGTATCGTGTGATAGTCAGAGCCCCTTCGTTTAACCCCTCCTCCCCTACGCCTTTGCTTCGCACCTTCGCTTGCAACCTTTTACTCACGTCGGCGAGGTACAACGCAGGAAAGTGCCTACCTGTCTTGCCCTTGCCCGCACAATTGTGCCTGCATCCCAACTTGACTTATCTCTGCTGCTACCTGTGCTCTATCTAGTTGGGATCGCACGAGCCAGTCCGAGTGGATGGCATCCATCCACGTCATGTAGGGAGGGAGGTAGGACTGGAAGCGGAAGTTGACTTCCGGAGCAAATATGTGTAGCATACAGGATCGAGATGCGGGCTGTACGGCGGGGTGGTTCGGGGTAGGTAGGGTGGAATAGACTAGGGCAGGGGGTTTTCAGACTTGGTGTTATCCTGGTTGATTCGGATTGATAAATGTGGTGTTCGGCGATGGGGAGGTGGGTACGGTGCTTGGGAGTTGTGCTTGTACTGGAACGATCTGAGCTGGATCGTGCTGTATGCATGCTCTGTGATGGGATGACTGACTTGGAAGTGCAGGAGTAGACCTGCGGTTTGCTAGTAGTACCTTATCTATCTTGCGATACTGAGTAGTTGAGTAGAATGTTAGTACTTACTGTATGATACTATCCTATCTCCTACATTCCCTAACCATCACCTCTGCAGATCATTCAATTCCGGAAACCGCCCCCCCCTCCACGGAAGTACCCAAGTAGAAATGACGATCCTCGAGTGACGTGCAGTGAGTGACTTGTTGGTACTCTACTGTGCTGTACTATAATTGTACAGTATGATGCGGTAGCCCTTCGCATATGCATGATCGGTGTTGGCAGATATCGCGGTCTGATATCTGGCAGGTTGGCTCTAGCGGTGGCGATGGGTTTGGCGTCATTGGAAGGAAGTGCGCGGGGGTATCTGATACCTTGGATATGATATCGATCGGGCGTGTTGATCCGAAGAGGCAGGATGTGGGAGGGTATGGTTGGTGGGTGGGTGGGGGGGTGGACTACCGGTAGAAGAGAGAATGATGGGAAAGGAGAAGAAGAAGGGAGTTCCTGGAATGTTTGCTGACATTTTGGTCCCAGGTTTGGAACAGACGCCAAGAACCCATCAGCGTTATCAATACGGTTAGTAGAGGAAACTTCGTTCCAGTTAGCGGTATTATAAGTTCCAATTGTATCCAGTAGTTTACTACAAACTTCCCTCGCCATCATACAGAATGTTTCAATTCTACAATTACGGCATTGGTCACCCCTACAAATAATCCCAAACACCAGGATACAAGTACTGATACCGGTTACCAAAACCCAACTTTTGTTTTTTTTCTATCCCTACCACTCCGAACCAGGACCCTACCTTAATCCCAGAACCGAAAAATGATAATCCGGGACCAAACCAAATGGCTCTCTCCGTGGTTGGGGAAAGAGGAGGAAAAGAAAAAGAAATATTATTATTATAACCACTGCCGAGACATTACTAAAATACAAGCGGTGAAAGCCCCGTGGTAACGACACATCATGAGATGTCACCCGGTATGAACGGGAGTGAGCTAACGGGATTTGTACTGGAGGAGTGGTGATCTTTGTTGACGTGTATGAGTCTTTTTTTTCTCCTCTTTCCTTCTCTTTCTCTTTTCCGAGGGACGGTATGGGGTACCTAGGGGGTACTTGTGGGTAATTGGTATTTTGGATGGTTTTGGTCTGGTTGTGGGGCGGGGGATGAAAAGGTCGGAAGGTATGTCGGTGTATCATATCATACTGGCACAGTGGGATAGGGTATTGCTCATAGGTGTACCATACCATACCGTGCTTGTATGGTTTCCGCGACTGCAATTGAGCGTAAATATCGCTCCCAGGCTAAATGAAATAGAAACGATGGATTTGTGAGATATTAGCAACATACCCCCTACCCAACATCGCACTCGAAAGAACAACTCAAGCTTTGCCTTTCCCTTTTTCGAACCCCTCTCGAGGAAGACTCTACACAATAGAACTACCGTAGGGTAGTACGATACCGAAGCGTAACCGCCCTTTCCGAAAAACCTGCTCCTCCCAACCCTACAACCATATACAACAGGTAGACACTGTCCATGACTTGAGACTTCCGTACCTTGGAAAAAAAACAGGGGTCGAGTCGTGCATGTCTAGAATATCCCAGACCGAAAGTGGGGCATTTTTTTTAGAGTTAAGGATGTAAACCGTCGATCACTGTGTGCTGTGCTCGCTCTTGTGGTGCTTTCCGAGATGCTTGCCTTGGCGTCAATTGGTGATGATTGGACAACGGGTTATTGAACGGGCTCTCGCGGGGAAGGGAGAATTGCAGGAAGCGTGATATGGTACTTTGCTGTGCTATTATTGGTCCAGCTGGGGTAGGTTGGTTGGAACTCCTCTATCATCGCGATCATCAGGTCTAAGAATGATAGCGATTGTGTGTGGTCGAATGTGTATAAATACTGCTTGATATCCGGCTTCAATCCTCTCTCTCTCTTCATCCTCATCAGCTTCTACTTCTACTTCAATAGCAATCTTCGCCTTCGAGCTCGAGACAATCTATAACTACCCCTACTCTACTACTACTACTACTACTACTACTTTATCAACTCTTCTTCCACCTTCCTCCAAAATGCAGTTCACAAGAATCCTCCTTTGCATCTTTGCTGCTCTCTTCTCTCTCGCTGTTGCTGCTCCCACCGGCGGTGAGCGTGGCGTTGGGCGCGGCGGCAACGGCGGCGACACCACCGTTAAGACTGTGCACGAATACTGCGCCAACATGAAGCAGGAATTTAAATGCTGCGATTCCTCCACTATATCCGCTGGGGCGGTGAATCCCCTTTCAGCTATTACCGCTAATTGCAACATTGTTGGCGCTTCTGTTTTGTCCGGTACGTTCTTAATTTATTCTGGTCTTGACTTGGAGGGGAGAGGATGTGAAGTTAATGAAGTGGGTGGGGGTGAATAGTTCCGATTTTGTCAGGTGGGGAGAATTGCAAAGGTTCTATGGCTTGCTGCTCTGGGAACAGTGTCAATCAGGTATGTGGTGGTGACATTTGTTTGTTTCGGGAGGAGGGTGGTTATTGGGCTAATTTAGCATGCACAGGTCGGACTTGTCAATGTCGCCCCCCAGTGTACTACCTTTCAGTTTTAGTAGTGGGTAACAGATGGAGAGGTCTTCGGAACCTTGTGATGCGGTTACGATGGTGACGATTTGGATAATGGATTGGTATCGGTACGGGATAGTATGGGATGGGTTTGGAATGGGATGGATTTAGGGAAACGATTTTATGCTTATGATTTACTCTTATTCTTTCTCTTCTATCACAACGAAGCTCCTCAGAGCGGTTTTTTATGTCACATTGTCTACGTTGGTCAATTTGGTAGTCAATTTTATATAATTCTTCTCATGAACTACTTTTCTCTCCTTCCAAGGATACGACTAAATGATGAAGCGGTGCGAGTGCGAGCACAGAGTGAAACGGAGAGCAAGCAGGCCATTGAGATATATATATATATACACCTCCCTAAACTTCCAACAGCATCCTAAAAACCAAACGAAAATCCAATCATCGAACTAAACGTAAAAAGAAAGAACCCCCCCCCGGACAGTGATATAAACCTATCAGGTCCGATATCACAAGTCAAAACACACGACTCCAAAACGACATCAAGTATTTCGGTGACCGTGAAAAGCAAAATCCCAACCGCGCTGCCAATAGATAGATATCATACTCCGGCGTCATTTCCACTGGACATCCCGAGCGGGTTACGAATTGAATCAACTATTCCGCCCACTCAGCCCACCGCAGCGAGCGAGCCAAACTAAAGACATACAGCAGGGCAAAGACTTTTTGCAGTATGATAAGGCATCGAGGGTGCATATATGGGGGCCAATTTGTGGTGCATGCATTCACAAACAATGACAACATCGCAGTCTAATAGGCCCAAACAACAACTCGGTGCAACCGATAGCACTGCGACAAACATCTGGTGGGACTCTGGTTGCACATGCGCAGTCGTAACCACTTACCGGTGTGTGCATTGTGTTGTAGAGTCTTGGTAGCCGTGTACAGTACTGCGGTGTCGGTGGTAATGTATTGTTGCTATAAGACGTACGTAATTTATCCAATCAGCCCACTTATTCGCTTGTTCCCCTCTTTCTCGGCTTGTTCAAATGGCAAATAGAAAGCCTCTCTCCCTCTCTCCCTCTCCCTCTCTCCTCTTCCTTCTAAGATATCTCCATCACTGCTATTGCTCGCCGCCATGACATTTCACCCTCGACTACGATTGACCGGAACAAAGGCTACAATCTCAGGATATCACTCGTCTCTCGGTTTTCCTTTTTGAGACACAGTCGTTGACTCGGGGTGGACCTGCAGTCACCTCCTTGTGCCTTACTCGTAGGGCAGGCCGTTTCCCGTGGGGAAGACTCTAGTGATGGGGAGCTCGGTTAAGTCAAAGTCATACCGTTAATTTATTTTATTTAATCTCCAAGAAAATACGATTGGTATCGAATCGAAATCACCTCCCAAGAGACCAATTTCGTCTTTATATATCTTTCAAGGAAAATTCAGCCGTGAGTACGATGCTCTATCAGTTTCAGAAGCCGTCAAAAAGAATAAAGAAAAGAAAAGAAAAACCCTTGAGAGAGACGTAACTAATAAAATAGAAAAACAGGGGATCGTCCAGTTTAAACAGCAGAAACCCAATTTGGTCTGGCCATTGCTCTACATAGAAAAGGCAAGCCCCAAGAGAAGGAGACAACGAAATAATAAAAAGAAAAAGGGGTATCATTTCCGTATAACATTTATCGCCGCTCTGGGCTTGGGTAATCGTGGGGGTATATAGAATCCAACTAACCAGGAAGAGTTGAACCCATCCATTGGATTTCGGTTTGCCGGAAATTTCCTTGGACCTCAATCCGAGCGTTTTTTGGCCTTATTTTTTTGGTCCGCCGAGTGCGCACATCACCCCTACGCCTCCCAACGGCCTTGCACCTGAAAGTCCGCTAAACTTCCCACTGTCAAATTAGGCCACTCTTGCTCCGTCGCTCGCGGTACCTGAGCTTCCCTCCATCATTTTCCCCTTGCCTTTCCCTTTTCCGTCACCCAAGGGGTGACTATCCTCAACCGGGTCTCTATACAATTGGTGCTCCCTCAGGTATTCAATGACGCAGCTGGGAAGTAGGTACTGAACACTCATCCCCCATCTCAAGAATTGCCTGATCCTAGTACTACTGATATCGTTGGCAATCAATTGCCGAACAACCTGGATGTTCTCCAACCAGTTCTTTCCCATCTTCTCGCTCCACTCGTTGAGCGGAGCCAATGCATCACTGACATTAGAGCCGGAACGCTCAATGACGAAAATCCCGTGGGACCCAATAATCAAGTCCAAATCTTGCAAAGACCAGACGCCCGGCTGCGACATAGTTTGCAAAAGGTCAGAACCGCCGAGTAAAGCAACTTGCGCAGGCTTCTTGGGGGTATCCGGATTGGAGCTGGTGGAAATTCCACCGAGTTGATCATTAACGGAAGTGGTGATGTGATTCAATACGACGGCGGTGGGCTGGTATTCATTCTGGATGGCTTCCCATGGGTCAACCATTAGCCAGTCGGAAGTTTGTTCACAGGCTAATTCGCACATGCGGACCCTATAATATGCGGGTTAATCGGGCCGGGGGTGGAGGTGGAAGGGGAAAATGGGGGCGAACCGATGGGTGGCGTTTGCCAGACCAGCTTTGTTGTACCGATCGCTCACAGGTGACAGGTAGCCACCAACAACCTCATAGGTATCACTCATATTCTGGCGTACATAGTCGACAGCCATCTCGAACATTCGAAGATGCATGTGGGTGATGGGCGAGAAAGAGCCGCAAGCGACAAGGACCAAGGGTATTTTGGTGGGATCGTTCAATACCTGTCGAAGACGGTGAGATGGAAAGGTGTAGGTATCCTTAGATTGCAAGCCTGGGGAAGAAGACATTCTTGCTGGGTTTGAGAGATCGTCACGACAAAGGGCGTTGGTGTTGGTTGCGGTGGCTGTAGGAGCGGGGGAGGTGGAGGGCAGAGGTAATGATGGTGGGGTGAATTTATCTATCTGGCTGATGGGATCCGCAGACAAAGCCCTCGGTCTGCGGATCGGCAAAAATAGGAAGAAGAGATCGAGGAGAGAGGGGTATGGGATATATAGCAAGAAAACCGAAACAGCGGGAGGGGGGGGTTGTAAAAGAGGCAAAAGGTGGAAACGGTGGACTGCGGGTACGGTAGGGAAGGGGACGGAGACGAGTTAAGTAACTAACTTAGCTCATTCATTCAAAGGCGATGGTGGCATGGCCACATTTTCGTCAGAAAGGAAAGGGTAAAAAAAAAAAAACTCTGAGCGCGGAGTAACTCCCTCTCCCAACCACTCCCCGAGACATACCGTATCATGTCTTCCCTCACGAATGCCTAGAACATGCGACGTGCGACACGGTACTGTACTCGAGTGCAGTACTCGAGTACAATAACCTCACCTTAATCCATAAGAAGTGCGAGTACAGTATCAATTACCGTGAAGCAAGATACTTGTACTCGTAAAGTGCTGGAGTATGATACCCCGCAGTTTGGTTTTCTCTTTTCTTTCCCCTTTCTTCCTGCTTTCCCCCCCCTTAACCGTCGCATCTTGCCGTGCTGTGCCGTACGATAAGAAAGATGCTCTCCTTCGTGTTTGACCTTGCCTGCCCTGCTTGTGCACTTGACACAACTCATCGCCCCATCCCATACCGGTACTCACAGTTAGCATGAGTAAAAAAGTAACTTTGCCAGCACCAAGGGCCACTTGTACCGTCGGTCACATCTAGTTTCCAGTAACATAATTATGTAACATATTTTCCCTCAACTCATCGCTTCCCCTTCTCCCTTCCTCCGTCCCGTCTCATGTCGCCTTAGCCTGCTTCTTCTCCCTCCCACCCCTCCCAAGCCATCTTTCCCCCACACATGCTCGCCTAGCCTACAGGAACGATGGAAACGTCGGGATTATGTAAGTACTTGTGGGGGCTTTGGGTCGGGTTTGCAGGGACGGGGCACGCGCACGCGGAGGGGGGTTTTCTTTTCTCTTGTGTGGTTGGTGGGGGTGTAGGTAGGGTGTATCGCGGGAACTGGGTTCAATCCTACTATGATATGTATTTTATCCTGGACTAGGAATGTCATTTCAGTTTAACATGCAGTACTCGTACCGGTACCTACAGTATACTCGAGTACAAGTACCGCCAGTGATATCACCAAATGCAAAAACTTCATCAAACAACGACGGCGATTACCGTACCGATCGTCCGGATCCAAGCTACCATCGGTGAGGTTCCCGCATGGAATTTACTCTACAGTACGAGTGCACGCACACACACAGTCTGATATTGAACCACTGCATTATTATTATTACTATAGCCATTCGATTTCATTCATTTCAGCCCTGACAGACAGACAGACAGCGTAGTAGTGCGATGGGCAAGCGCTATGATATGATTGATAGAGGGGAATAATTGCAACTTGCCGGGAAGTTTAGTTAATAATACGGTAAGTAGCGAAAACGGATTTGTGATAGTAATCTTTATTAATATACAGTTATGGTTTATTCTGCGTGATATGCGGTGATCCGTGTAAATGCGCTGATGGGTGTGGTGGGTGTCCTTTTTCTCTTGCTTTTAGATGTAATGATTGATTGATTGATTTGGGTTGAACGGGTGGATCCGGACTACCGATGAGATCCGCGGGGAAAGAGTAAATAAGTTACACGAAATACCGGTGACACTGAAGACAAACAAATCGACATATAATGCGCCAAACGAGACCCGTCACACCACGATTCAAGAAAGCCAATTGAAAAAAGAGAGAAAAAATGAGTAAAAAAAAAGATGAGTAAAAAGATGAGTAAAAAGAAAAAAGCCAAAAAGCCTAACGTCCACTAAACAACCTCCCCGTACCCCCACCACACCGCCGCCAACACCCTCACTAAACGCTCGTACTCCCACTAACATCCTCAAAATCCATCTCCCAAGAATCTACGATGCGGAACTTCTCCGCCGCGTCCCGCAACTTCTTCCTCCCCTCCTTACCGAGGACTCCGTCGGCAACCTCGACCACAGTCCCACTCGTCGTAGTCGCCGCCTCATCCTCCTCCCCAACGCCATCGTCGTTCTTATTCCTGTTCCCTCTCGGTGCCTCATTCTCCTTCTCGGAACCGGTGGATTTACGCGCGTACTTCTTTCTAATAGTAGTAGTGGCGGTGGTGGTGGGGGGGACGAGGGGGCGGGACCAAGCTGATTTTGTGACTTTCGCGGCGGTAGTGGCGGAGGACTTGGGCTTCGTTTTCGATTTGGACTTCTTGGCTGGTTTGGACTTGCGTTTTGTGGGTTTGCTGAGTTCGTCTTCCTCTCCATCCCCCTCCGAGGAAGAAGGGGAGAGGCCAAATTCGTCCCTCTCAGCATGTTTGCCCCGGCCTTTGCGCTTAGGGAGTAATCCACGGAGGTCCTCTGTTTGTAAAACTTTTGGTTTTGGCGCTGCTGCTGGCTTGGATCTGGTGAGGGTCTGCTTTCTGCGCTTTCCGCCACGGGTTTGGTTGTGGTGTTCTTCTACCCCGTCACCTTCCTCGTCATCGGAGCTCACGTCCGCGCTTGAAGAGCGGCGCTTTCGGGAATGTCGGGGGGATTCCTGCGCTGGGGAGGAGCTAATCGGCGGGCGCATTATCTCGTCGAGCTCATGCGCGTTGATGTTATCTGGCAGAGTTGGAGAGGGGGTGTTTGGATCGGAGTAGATTGCAAAGGCCATGTCTTCTACCTTGATAGCAGTAACGGCAGCGGTGGGGGGAAGGGCATCCTTCTTGCCCTTTTGGAATTGAAAGGGAGATCCGAATCGCTTCTTCCTACGCTGCTGTTCCGACCGTGCATATGCCGGAATCCCATCATTATCTTCTAGATCAGCCTCTTCTCCAGCCTCCGCCTCCTCTTCCTCCTCCTCTGCAAGTTGACTAAGTTTCCATCTATTCGCGCGCTTAGGTGTAGGACTCGCCGGCCGGTCCTCATCATCCTCTGCAAACCAGCCACTACTGGCAACATCATCCCCGGGCAGCCTATCCAACGGCTCCAGACTCTCAACACCCAATTCCCGCAATCTAGGTCTCTCGGCAGACGAAGGTCTTGCGCGCGGAGGAGTGTACCCCTCGTCCTCGCCAAACTCTAGGTGAATCCTTTCCCGCTTCCCGTCCCCGCCCCTTGCCTGGGTAGGCGTGGTCGGTCCCGCTTCGTCGTCGTCGCAAGGAGCAGTGCCTAGGATCGCTGGGGGCGAAGATGCGAAGTGCGCACTACCGGCCGGGGAGTGGTTCTCGACGTCGGACGATGCGGGGACTTGAATCTCAGGCGATAGCGGGGTAATCTCGGGCATTGGCGGGGTAGCTAGGACACCGGAGTTAGATTTCTGCTGCTTATGCAGAGGCACCTTCGCCGCGGCGCGTGTAGGTTTTTTCGGAGATGGAGTTTTGCGAATCACTTCTTCAATGGTAATGGTGGTAGAAGTAGCGGTAAAGTTTACAGTAGAACGCGTAGATCTCTTCGGCGGCGATGTTTCTGCTGCTGGGGCCGCTGGAAATGTAGTAATTGCTGCGACGGGTTGTTGTGACTGGCCTCGTCGTCGTGTGGTTGTTGGCTTAAATCTATCTGGCGATGTGCGAGTAGATGCAACGGCGGTTTGACTGGGCTGACTAGTTTCAATGACCACCTCGACCGTGCCTCTCGACCTTGTCGCGCGCGCTGGTGGTGCTACTGGCTTTTCAATTATTTCTTTCTCAACTGCCTTCCTTTCCTTCTTCCCGGCAGTGGTAGCAACCTTCTTGCTCGCCTTTTCCACCTCCTTCCCCGCGGGCGGTTTCCTGCTAACGCGCGATGGTCGTGGCATCCTGATCAATTCAATCAGTTCCTCAAACTCTTGATCTTCCCTCGCTGCGGAAAATGATTCAGATAGCAATGGTGTATTTCGAAAAGTAACGTGTAAACCCCCCTCGTATCGGAGTAGCAGGTAGAAGCGGTGATGGATGGTGTGGTGTGGTAGTAAGTGTGTGTAAGCGATGAACCAAAGGCTGGGTAACAGGCAGATAAGATACCATATATAAGCCCGGAGCCCCCAACACGCCAACCCCCGAAAAAGAAAAACGAAAAAAATTGCCCTATTAGGAAATAGTGACGTGACGCGTTGTTGTTGCACTCTTTTGGGTTTCACTTAGTAAGCTTATGTCTTGGCAATCAAATGAATGAACCCCCCACTTTCTCTGCCCCGAGGAAACCACTCCCCTTTTTCTTCTTCTTCCCCCTGGTGGAGTGGAGTGTGATGGTGGTGGCTTTTGCTCAACTTAACCGTCGAGAACTGAGCAACCACTGATCTTTTCTCTCTCCTATTTACCGCTATTGAGGAGGAGGTCTGAAGGAGGAGAAATGGGGAGAGTGAGCACAATGAAAGAGGTGCGAAGCGGAGAAATTACAGTTGCTGCTCTATTGCCAGATAACCTTTTCCCTACTGCATGATATCCCCCCACCGCAGCGAGCAAGCCCGACGATCGGCGTGGGTTACCAAAAAAAAAAGGGAAAGGGAAAGGGAAAGGGAAAGACAGCTGTCTATTGGTTAGTGGTTGGAGATTCGGGAATGAAAAGGTTTCGACAAACTCTACCGGTACTAACTATATCATACACCATGGATGAAGAATTCTAGGTCAAGGCAAGGGAGGGGGAGGTGATTGAATTGAGGTTTGGTCTAGTGAAGGATTCCCGGTAACGGATCGGGACGGGGCACTGTACCGTACTGTACTCGTATATTACGTTACCACCGTAGGGTATCACACATCGGAGAGTTTTGCGCTCTGGGATGGCGATTGGGAGTGGACTACAACTTACAGTATACACCCCCGCTTGGAGTCAAACAACGTTGGGAAAAGACAGTTAGAGAGCGAGACCCAGATACCAGTATACGAAAGGCCACTATCAATATTGATCGATACCAATACCTACCATTACCATCACTCACTTCACCTACTCACTCACGCTCACTCGCCTCCATAACGTATATGATAGTATATCACCGCACGAAACGACGCCAGTACAAACCCACCGGGCACAACAAAAATTTCCACAAATGGATGAAAAGATTATAATGTACATACGTGGAACGCATCTCTCCCTCCTCCCTCCTCCCTTCACGACAACCCATCGCCGTCAATCATCCAAATAAAAACCTGATCCCACTACCTAAAAAAATGAGCTTTCAAAAGATACATAAAAAGAATCAGCAGCCCCCCTCCTCCAACCCCCAACCTCCTCCCCCGCCGAGGCACGGACCATTCGCAAGCCAAATATAAATAAGAGAAGCTCGGGGAAGGGGGCGGAAAGAAGGGAAGAGGGAGAGGGGAAAATTAACTACAAAAACATCATTGAAAAAAGGAACGAAGACCAGTACTAAAAGGACAGATAGAAAGAACAGAGAAGAAAAAAGGTAGCGCGCACACATGTCCTCCACCTACAACCATCAACCAACGAAATAAATGAACACTTTCACTCCCATCCCATTCTAAGGAAAATGAAAACAAAAATAGGGAAAAAGGTGGAAAAAGAAAAAAAAGTTGAACCCGGAAATTTTTCCCCACAGCCCCGGTGTTGGCGATGATGATGTGGTGATGAACCCCCATTCCCATTCCCTCCGCCCCTTCCTGTCGAACACGAAAAAGCAAATAGACAGAACAAGAAGTAAAAGACTCAATAAGAATTTTAGAGGCCACTGAGTAATGATGCTACATCAGGGATAATCCACTTTGTAAGAGAATTATTGCAACGACGATATAAAAAAAAGTGGATAGAGGTCATGAGGGGAAAATAAGGATAAGGTTACACGGTTTATCGCATGTAAAATGAAGTGGGAAAGGAAGCTTTTAAAAGAAAAAGGAAAAAGAACCCAACCGCAGAAACTATTCATCGACCCCCCCCTCCATACCAGTAGACTCCCCTCCATTCCCAGCCAGTCCGTATCTTGGAGCCCCCTCCCGGCTCGCGTCCTGTGCACCCTAACATAACTTTTCCGAACTCGATAGCATCCTTTTTGGGGAATTTCTGCCCCTCCAGGTAACATCACATCACGTAAACCCACTCATGAACTCTCTGCTACAGCCAGGTGTGGCTGAGGCACTACAGGGCTAATCGGTAGTGTCGAACAATTAATGATTTCTATACGGCGAGTGATTAGTTCTTGTAGAGCCAGAAGTCGACGTTTCTCGATCTCCAAGTTAGGAGTAAGCGCTGTATCCAACGAGGCCGCCGGCGACAATGGCTGGTTCGGGGGTATCGACGATTTTTCCACGAGGAGTGCCTTTACATCCGCAGGCGCTTTCTCCTATAAAATGTGAGCAGAGCCATTCGTGTAAATGTGATAACGAAACCTAGAACCCACAATGAGAACCGAGACTAGGCCACCAAGCCCATTAGGGTCGAGAGGTCCGCTGAGCCTTTCCTTGGTGCTCAGTTCAATCAAGGACTGGACAGTCGCCTGAAGTTCGTCCGGAACTCCCTCGATTGGAACAGATATTAGATTCGCGATTGGGGTCTGAGGTATGGGTGTACAATTTCCAAGCACATGAGTGTCAAGTTTGCGGCGTTTCTGAGCATATTCACGCTCACTACATTAATGCGTGTGCCGTTAATTAAGACCCAGGATATCTCTCAATGATGGGCCATGAGCAGGAAAACTTACTTTTTAACTTTCTCAATAAAATCTAGCTTAATACCACGCTCCGGAAGGCGATAAACAACGCCACTGATGAGGAGTTCCTCAAAAGTCTCCTCTTCTTCGTTCTCAATCTCAATGACCCCATTGTTTTTCATTCCCCTGCGTAGGTACGCATCAACTATAACTGCCTTCTTGGGCCGTCTTGGCTGGTACTATTTTACATTGTCAGTCCAATGCACGGCGGAGGAACCACTTCACAGCTTTTCTTACCATATCTGCATGGGCCGGACACATCCATTTCTTCTGCGCCGGCGGGGGGTTTGGCATTGGCATAGGGCTGACACAGTCCAAATGCCAATTTAACGGACAGAAGTCGCATGAGATGATTCTCTGACCATCAGCAGCAGACCTTCGACAACTATGGCAGAGAATGATATTCCCGCTCTTGTCCTTAAGTCTGTGGGTATCGTATTCTTCCGGAAACCCGCTCCTTCTATTGTACCCCGGAGGTCTATGGTCAATATATGCACCAGTGAACCAGAGGGAATCAAAGAAAAGAAAAGAAAAAAAACACCATACCCAAATCTCTGCGTCTTGTTATCCCTAACATCCACATATTCGCCTAAAGGTCCAGTCTCAACTCCAACAAAGTAATTACGAATCTCCGAGGGTAGCCTAAAGGAGGAAGGGTTCCTTCTGTTTATGTTGTCTAGAAGATCCACAAAAAGCCCACGGGGCGGTTTAGGCGGCGGATTATGCTGTGTTGTGCACTTGTTGCAGAACCACATACCCTCTGGAACCTCCTCGAGGGGAGGGTTCAGGCAGGTAAAATGGAATGATCGAGGGCAGCGTTCGCAGCAGAGGAAACGACCCGGCCCATTGCAGACAGCGCATACATCTTCGTTCTCCTGATGATGACGTGTCAGTGCCCAAAAACTGGACCCATAGAGAGAATAATCTAGATAAAAATCCATAAAAACCTACCGAAACCTCCTCAGACCCATACCGGACCCGCCTATTGTCACTAAGATCACCAATCCCAGCTGTGACAACAATCGGTTCCGCTGCTGCTTTTTTGACCGGACTAACCCGCAATCTCGCAAAATAAGCTTTACCCCCAACATATAACTTAATGGCTAGAGTAAATGTTGCAATATACATAGAATAAAATAGAAGAAAAACACTCACGAAATCTTGATCTTGTTTCCCTTCGGCTTTTTCTTCGGAGGCTGCGCTGGGAGCATATTAGGAGTTCCAACAGCGCCGGACCCAGATCCAGATGCTGCACCAGAGGTAGAAGGTGTATTAGAGGATGCAGAATTAGACCCGGCCGGTGGCGGAGTTGAAGCTGTGCTAAGGCTCCTCGCCCGCTTCCTAGGATTAGTTGCGGTTGCCCTTGTCCCACGAGGTACACTAGATGGAGGCGGGGGATCCCGAACATTGCTCTCAGTTCGCACCTCGTCGTCAGCCGGGACGTTCTTAGGTCCATTAGATGCTCGCTCAGAGGTCCCCTTGGGGCGAGATGCGAGTTGGTTCATAGGTGTAAAACCAATAGCCGGCGATGAGTGGGAGCTCTCGGGTTGAGAGCCTACTGAAGCGCTAGCATTTTCAGGCTTTGTGCGCTCGTCAGACAGTTCTGAGAGAACTGAACTCAAATCGGATTCTGACTCCTCGCCAACTTTGTTTTCCTGGTCCTTAGCACCTCGACCGCGCCCCACCCCGTTCTTTCGCTTGTCCTTTTTGTCAGCCTTTTTGTCTACCTTTTCCTTCTTTTCCTTCTCCACTTTGTCTCTCTTGATGCCGGCTGCCGTCGCAGAGGACGAGGAAGTAGAACCGTTTGCTTCATTGACTTCTGCTGCCGGCTCCTGAGGAGGTAGTGCTGGTTGAGCGGCAGGTGCGGGAGGTGGTGGTGGTGGTGGTGGTGGTTGCCCATTCCCATCTCCGTTTGACGGGGGCCCACTGCAGGGCTCTGCCGACTTCGAATTGGGATCTCTCGCATTCTTGACATATGTTTGAAATTCTAATACCTGTGCTGGCGTCGCCCGCTGCGCCAGGACCGCATCCAATAAATCCGCCAACAAGTTGTTAGACAACGACTCATCGTACAGTTTTTTGATCGCGCGACCCAACCCCAAATTTCCAATCTGAGTACTTCGTTCGATGGCGGCATCAACAACCATTTCAAGGCGATGACGTCCCTGTGGAGTCTTACTATTTGGGGCTTGGCCATTAATCCAGACATTCGATGGAGCGGTTGTGGACGGACGAGCCCCGTTGGCACTATTGGGGGTCTGCGGGTTGATACCTGGCGACCGTGAAAGTGAGGGAGCAGCCGGTGACGAAGCAGTCACTACCGGAGTCGAACTGACGTCGGGCTTAACCTTAGAAGTTTGAACTGGACGAACGGATGCTACTGGTGCCGTTGGTGCTACTGGTGCAGGAACCGGTGTTCCCCCGCTCGTCAATGGACCTTGTCCTGCTCCCCCTACCCCTACTCCTCCATTCCCTCTTGCTCCCGTTCCCACTATCGCAGTACCATTCGCAGGGCTCACACTCGCTTCCATTGCGGCTGTCGGCGGTGAAACAGCAGCCGGAGTAGTAGCGGCAGGAACAGGGGTGGATGCAGCCAGCTTCCCTCTTTTCTTCTTTGCCGGTTGACCCGACCTCTGTCGTGATGTTGCCTCCACCATCTTAGTTGAAGGTAGCTCGCCCAAAGGTAACATGTGCTGTGTAGATGTGTTCACAGACGCCTTATCGTCATATTCTTTATAGGATGCTTTAGGCGTGGCCAAGGGGGGTTCGGACCAATCTTCAGGCGTGTCTTCTTGTGTTGTGGGAGTCGAGGTCGATGCTTGGGGTTGCACGGAAGATAAGGTTTGGCCGGAAGGTTTTGTGGATGTAGGTGTACCAACAGGTGTAGAGCGACGGGTTGACGGTCGCGAAGGGCGTGATGGCCTTGCAACTCCAGGAGCCGGAGAGGCCTTCGATTCCTTAGGAGGCATGGCGTAATGAATGGGTTTTGGTTAATGCAAGCGGTAGTGGTCGCGAGCAAAAACGTAAACCCGAAAAGCGCGGGGGGGTTGGGTGTGGGAGCGAGGGAAAGGGAAAAAAATATGAGTGATTGCTCCTGAACAAGAATTTAAACCAGAAAAAGAAAAGAAGGGAAAGAAGAAAAAGAAGAAAAGAAAAGAAAAAAAAGGTGTAATAGTTCGACGACTATCGAACTAAAAAAGAAAAGTGAGCGAATGTATAGAGATGAAAAAATTACTGCAATTAGAGTCGTTAAGAAAACTTACGTTTAGAAGGGGGGGGGGGTTGTGGTGGCGGGAGAGATGAAATAATCCTCAGCGAAAAAAACGGGAGTCTATCGCGTCGAGGATTATTTGTGTTGTGGTGGATGGTGGTAAGAGTGGTGTGTGTTAAGTGAGTGATGTGGGTAGTGCTCGTCGTTGGGGATGGAATGTGTTACGGTTGATGGCGGTGGTGGAGGCGGTCGTTGAGGCGTAAAAAGAGTCGAGTGAGCGAACGTATGAAGGTAGGGGAAGGTATGGGGGTTTGGGGGGGGTTTGGGAGTATGAGGTTGGGAAGCAGTCAGTCTAGGCACTCCGGGGCCCTCGAGTTTTGGGTACCCTTTCTAACCTGAGTTCTGTAGGGCTGCCAGGCTTGCAACAACAGTGAGAGGAGGTGAGACCGAGGGAGAAAGTTACTATGTAAGCGTGATGTTGGGGGGAAGAGGTGGAGAGAAGAGAGAGGAAGGGGAGGTGAGATGAGAAGGGGGGAAATAGAAAGGAAGGGGATCGGGACGGCGCTGTTGCGGAGGGCAGAAAGGTGCGGGTGAGCTGTCAACGACTTGAGCCCGCTTTTTCTCCCAGCTATTCGTCTCTCCTCACCCTCTGACCTAATTTATGAAGATGATGAATGCTCCGAGGATGAAGGAAGACTGTAGGCGATGTGTGGCATAGATCCTACGAGGATCGGTAGTCTTTCCTCTGATGTGTGCAGCTTGTTCTTCCCACTTACTTTTGCTGCTTGTGCTTGTGCGTGCAAGGAGCGTAGGGGGAAAGAAAGTGAGTGTAGGAAAATGGGAGAGCGAGAAGTGTGGAAAAGGAAGAAAAACCTCAGTCCCTTCAGCCACCTAGGGAATGGAGTCACCACACCACCATGAATCTACGAGGGGCATAGTTAAAACATTAAAAAAAACTTCTTATTTACGAATGGTATTGGGAAAGTTTACTTCCAAAATCATTTATCACTACTTCTTCATCCACTCCTTGACTCGGGCACCCTGACCCCGACAAGTTCTGCAAACACCTTCACCATGACCATCTCACACAAGTCTCCCAAGAAGTTAATCAAGACCCTTTCGCTAGTCCAGCCCAGTGCCTGGACCAGCACTTTCATCGGAAGCCAAACTACCTTCCCAACAGAAACGCCATCAAGACTTCTTGCCACCAGCTATCCCCGTAATTGAAGAAGAAATAATCATCACGACCCAGAACCCCCAAAAGGCCAACTCAAAGAAGGAAATAAAAGTGATGTGTACAATGCAAACAACGAAAACACGACAAATTCTCGAATCGTGTCCATGCAAACTCCCCATAGCCCATTTCAACAATGTTCTCAGAGCTGAAGCGCTAGTTTACCCATTCCTCCGTTCATGAGCTCACCAAGACGAACACCAACCCAACATACCAAAGGTTAACAGCACGACTCGACAAGGAAGACTGAAGTATGGTAGACAAACCAACCAATAGAAAAATTAGGGCCCCCACAAGTAGGCTGCCAGTATCTAAGACTCGGAGAATCACTCGTACCCCGCAAGTCGGGAATAAGCAAGAAAATACTGGGGAAACGTGCAGCTCCTTTTGCATCCTTTGACGCGGGACTTCCCCGTCCAGTAATTTTTATTCCGAGGGTCACTAGGAACAGCCTGACAAAAGCCACATAATCGATGGAATCATCGAGGAAAAAACATCGCTTTGTCAAGAGACGACGCAGACCCACGATGCATAAACGTGATCCTGCATTACCCCGGCCTTTTGGACGAACCATCGAACTTCAGTCGCCGATGTTTTCCCATGAACGATCCTATAGAGCTCAAGAAACTCCCGATAAGGCGTTCCGGAAGAAGGTTCGGACACCCCCAGAATGAGCTGCAGCTTATTGGTCCGAGCCAGACAAGATAGGCATCAACTTGCTTTCCCAAGCTGGGGAATACTCGACATGCACCTCGTCCAACCAGACTATGACAACAGGTAACGCTCCCCTCACCCCTTTCTTTCATTTCCGCCACCGAACAAGAGCGTTCAAGATGGAATGGTTCACTGCGTTCGACCAAAGGATGGCCACGTCCTTTCGAACCCAATATCTTTGAAACGCGCAATAGTCATAGCCAGGCGGTTTTTGACTCTGAAGGGTCCAAAAATAGCGGGCAGTATATCTGGACAAGGCTGCACGGATCAACCCAGATGCCCAGCTTAAAAACAATAAAGGAACGATGGCCATCCTCTGGGGGAGAGGAGATGCCACCCCCGAACCCTGCGCTCGGCCCGAAAGTACGCTGCCCCCCCACGGTGCATACAGGAGCCGTTGGCTTAACTTTCTCGGGCTATATGTCCCGTATACGGTGATCATAACTTAATCAAGGCACAAGCTTTGTACATCGTCACCTTCGATCTAGCGAGCAATGTCCTCAACATTTGTCAGTTGTAATCCTCTCACACTTGACAGACTGCGGCGGAAAAAGAGGAAAGTACACTTACAACTACCAAAATGTTCAAACGTGGCATCAATTGTACTAATTGCGCGTGAGAAAGAAGGAACATCTCAATACATGGAGTTCCAAAGGAGCAAAAGTCAAGAGCCAAAAGAAAGGATCTAATGACGCAAACGTGTGCGCACGTATTGCATGGACTGTCCCTTCAAACTCTTATGACAGGTGTCCACACAATATTTCCCCGTGAGTGTATATCATAAATATCGTGTTCCCCGCCCCCGCCCGTCCTAACAATATGCCGACGGTCTGGGTGTGGGAGAGCCTCTGGTCATATCAGCCAAATAAATAAATAAAAACAAGGCGAAGACAATCACCTCGTATTGTAGAGGCGCTAAAGTAATCACGTCCCGAGCACACATAAAATGCGCAGCGGGTTCGAAAAATAAAATAGGGAAAGCCACAGCTGAAGAAGGGTATCTCAAAGGAAGGTGTTGGTGTTGTACTGTAACCCTTTCGGGCGCCGCTTTTCTCCTCCAATTCATCGCCCGCCAGATCACGTGAGTAAATGCCTTGGCGAACCCTCGCGTAACTTTTCCTCCGAATCCAGAGTCCC